AGAGACGGGGTTTCACCATGTTGACCAGGATGGTCTCGATCTCTTGACCTCGTGATCCACCCGCCTCGGCCTCCCACAGTGCTGGGATTACAGGCTTGAGCCACCGCGCCCGGCGGTGTGAGTTCTTCTATCTCTGGTTTTCACCTGTGAGGATGGGCTTTGCCCACTGACTCAGAGGACCCTCTCTGAGCTGACATCCCAAGCTTCCTTATTGTAAATGGCAACTTCATATTTAAACTTAAATGCAAACAATACTAAATTGTAAAGAAAAAAGTGTATTTCCTTATAGGCTATGTGCTCTTGAAGGTCAGAATATGTTTCTACTTTTCAACCTACATTTCTGGGTGTCCATCCCTGATAAAAGAAAAAAAAATGGGCTGGGTGCAGTGGTTCGTGCCTGTAATCCCAACACTTTGGGAGGCTGAAGCAAGAGGATCACTGGAGCCCAGGAGTTTGAGACCAGCCTGGGCAATATAGCGAGACCTCATCGCTACAAAAAATAAAGCAATCAGCTGAACATGGTGGCACATGCCTACAGCCCCAGCGACTCCAGAGGCTGAAGTGGGACAATTGTTTGAGCTAGGGGTGAGCTGCATTCATGTCACGGCACTCCAGCCTGGGGAGACCCTTTCTCAAAAGAAAAAAGAAAAAAGTGACTCCCCTGTCTACATGGACCTCCGAATGGGAGGTGGGAAGACCATCAGTGAATAGTAACAATCATGTGATCTATCCTGGGACCAAAGAAGTAGGCATAGAAGGGAAGGGGAAGTGGAGAGAACAGCCATTTCTGGGGTCTGGAGGCGTGAAAATGCCTAGCATATTTAGGAATGCTGACACAGCAAAAGAGGCTGGGAGCTAGGCAACAGCTAGCTCTTCAAGGGCCTTAGGCATGGTGCTAAGGAATTTGGGCTTTCTGCTAGAGACCAAAGGGAGCTATTGAAGGTTTTGGAACAGGGGAGGGATACAGGATGGGGTGTGCTCCAAGAAATGATAGACCACCATGGCAAGCTGCAGACAGAACCCTCCAGGGTGGGGAGGATGACTGGCATCTCAAGTTGGTGCCTCTTCATCTCCAACACCTGCAACAGGACAACACCGTGAGCGCCTGGGCACACCTCAGCAGCTCCCCAGGCCGCAGTCTCTGCTGCTGCACTGTTGCTCTTCACTCGGGGTGGCTGGCAAAATAGTAAAGATATTAACTTTTAGGAAAAGTTGGAGATGAGTCTCAAACCTTTTGGAAGGCCGAAAGGTTTTATTGGGGCATGCCGAAGGCGGCCAGCCCGTCCACCAAGTTAGGAGGAAAATGGGGACGAGGTTTTCCCAATTCAGTCTGTCCATCCCACAGCCCTTTGTCTCCACTCTAACCATGGCTCTCTCTGGGGAAGATAAAAGGGCAATTACCTGTTGATAGCATTTACTCTCGGCCGGGAGCCTAAAGCTTTATCCTTCATATAACCTCTCTTAACCATTTTAATTATCCACAAGTGTGTTAAGTTAGAACCTCTGTTGTAAAGTCTTAAGGGAATAAATGTGTGGACAGACAGAGGGTCTGGGTTGATTGGTTGCATTTCGCCCTCTGACAGTAGCCAACAGCCATCCCTAGCCCACTTGAAACATTGATGGTGTGAGAGTGCATTCGTGCATCCGATGTTGAGTCAGGGTCAGCAGGTCAGACTTCTGCAGGTGGTGAGACCAAACCCACGTCTTAGGTGGTGACCCCGGCGTGATTGAGGGCACACTGCACAAAGGGAATGATAAGCCATCACAGCGTTAGAATGAGGATTTAATGTCATAAGGGGTGTATAAACTGAAGACAGGTAGTGAATGCTGGCTATTGACCAGGGGTGCCAGCTTAGAATACTCGCTGGCTTGGCACTCATGCCTGCAGAGCACTTCACCCCCTTGTGTCTGAGCTGTCTGCCACCAGCTGAGAGCTTTGTGAGCGCAGAAGCCACCTAGATAGCAGGTGTTGAGAGCATCCTGTGACACAGGCACTGGGCTGACCATGTTACAGGTGTTAGTTCCTTTCATCCTCTCTGCTGATACTATGTAGTATATTTAACTCACATTTTGTAATTGGGAAACCAAGACATAGACAAGTGGGCTGACAGGCTCGAGGTCACACAAAGCCACTCAATTCCGACCCCTGAGCCTGGCAACAGCAGGCCTTGATCATTCGTATTTTAAATGCCGCCTTACTACAAAGGCAATCTGTGGCTGCTAGACAAGAACCAAAAGGGTAGAACTGGCTGGAGCCCCAATTTCAAGTCCTCTGTCCTTCACCACTTCATTCCCAGGGGCAGTCAGTTCATCACTTGATGCCGGTTGAAAGTTCTTGAACATTAACAGCTGTTACTGACAGCAGAAGTATGAGCACAGTGGTAACTCCTGGACTGGTTCATTTCCTGCTAAAAGTTATTTAACTGATGGTGATTGGTTAGTTAGCTAGCTGTAGGCACTAGTTTATTCCTTCATTTATCCATTCATTCAGCAGATATCCTCTTAGCCTTCACTCAGATTCATTCCCTGTCTAGGGCAAGAGAGATGTCTCAACGCCACCAGGTGCCATCCAGCTGTGGGCCCTAGGGTTAGCTGCTTAACCTTTCCTTTCTCAGGAAGATGACACTAAGTGAAGGATTATTATTAGAATCCTGTGAGTTAATGCATGTAAAGTGTTTAGCAAGCACCCAGCACAGGGTGAGCGCGAAGCGGTTGCTGCTGGGAAGCCGGAGGAGAGCACGCGTGACGGTTCCCCAACAAACACTTGTGTGTGGAGCTGAGCTGTGCGCGAGGGGCCTGAGGGGCTCCCCGAGGGGCCCACAACCCAGCGGGATGGGGGTCAGTCCAGTGAGTCTGGTGCACGTACAGCGGACGTGTACGGAGGGGTGTAGACCCAGTTATCTTCTCTTGGTTTCTCAGGCTGTGGGATTCTCTCTATAGGTCTTGGGTGGATTAGCATCCTCTGGGTCTCTCTCCATCTCACACCTGCATGTTCTCTCACTCTCTCCTTCCCTCCCTCTGTGTGTGTGTGTGTGTGTGTGTGTGTGTTCCTCTGTCCTAATTGCCTTCCTCAAGGCATGTGTGAGGGCTCCTTAGGGTTCTGATTGCCTGCGAATGGTGGGCACCTCAGGGGGATTTTGCAATCAGGCAGGAAAACACGGAGAGGCCCAAGTGTGTCCTGGGGTGCCCTGGCTATGGGGAAGCGGCTCCATTTGTTAGGAAGCAGCCATTAATGGTCTGTCGCAGGTTCCCACAATTTGCATCTTTAGTGTGTCCATAATTTCACATGGCATCTCCAGGCCGAAAGAAATGCCTAACGGTTCCATGCATTAAGTCGTTACGTTCAATCAGCATGCACTTACTTCCTAACGACTTAGTAGATATTTTTTGGAATAAATGCATAAGTTGACAGAAAAAAATATTTTAATTTTACTCTTAAATATAATTACTTACTAATAGGATGAATGCACCTACCGGGCATTGTACAACTCTCGGTCCTTAACACTGCCGCCCTCACTTTCTCTTCCACTTCGATTTTCATGCGGCATTTGCTTTTTTTTTTCTTTTTATAGCAACTACCAAAAACGGTTTGCTATAGATCTGATGTCAGATTCACATAGATATGATGTCACTGGAAGGAAAGTAGCATGGTCGCACATTGAAAGCGTGAAGTATCCTGAGCTAGTAGTTTGTGTCATGTCAGAGAGATGTCAACTTGTATTTCCCTTTGGAGCCGGAAATGCCCTGCCACGCTGGTGAGTTCCCTGCAGTGCCCTGGAGCGCCTGGGCACGCAGTTCGGCAGCCAGGAGCTCCTGCCCTGAAGGGTTTGCAGTGGGCCGGGTGGTGAAGAGCTTGCCCTCGTGCGGCCCCTGGCCTCACATCTGCCTCTGTCCCCCTCAGTTCGACCTGGTTTGTGGTCGGAAGCACCTGAAGGACACCTCGCAGTCAGTGTTCATGGCCGGGCTCCTTGCTGGCAGCCTCATGTTTGGGCCCCTCTGTGACCGGTAAGAACCCCCTGCCCGCTCCAGCCTAGCACGCTTGTCAGCTCCGGCATGGGCCCCAGGCCCCCTTGTGCCCCTCACACTGGCCTTTAGGGCAAAGCCTTTGTCCCCCGACCCTCACATGGGGCTCTGGGAAAGGCCATGTCTCCTCCCTCACTCAGACAGAGACCCCGGGAGAGGGCTGGCCCCCGTGTGGCCTTCCCCTCAGATGCCTCCTGCGAGGGACCCTCCCTCAGATCTGCCTTGTTTTCTCAGGATCGGCCGCAAGGCCACCATCCTGGTGCAGCTGCTGCTCTTCTCTGCCGTCGGACTGGCCACCGCCTTTGTGCCCAGCTTTGAGCTCTACATAGCCCTGCGCTTTGCTGTGGCTACCGCTGTCGCCGGGTTCAGCTTCAGCAGTGTCACCCTGCGTGAGTGTCTGGGCCTCGGCGGTCAGCCACAGGGCGAGGCTCAGGGCCGGGGAGGGCCACGGTCCCAAACTGCCTGTGGAGGTCTTGTCAGGTACCCCACGCCTGAAACGGTCACACCGGCGCTTCCTGCGTTGGCCCCGAAGCCCGGCCCGGACCAGGTGGCACCTGGGAGGAACGGGGAATGAATGGCAGGGACTAGCCCCGCCTCAACCTCCCTGTTTCCGCAGTGACAGAGTGGGTGGGGCCCTCGTGGAAGACGAAGGCCGTGGTCCTGTCCCAGTGCAGCTTCTCCCTTGGGCAGATAGCTCTCGCTGGACTCGCCTACTGTTTCCGCAGCTGGAGACTCTTCCAGATGGCCGGCACCGCGCCTGGCTTACTGCTCTTCTTCTACTTCTGGTGAGGAAAAGACGTGCCAGGAGCAGCCCCCGGGTTAGCTGTGCTACGGGGGGGTTGGAGTGCAGCACCCACGTTCCTGGGACAGTCATGGCTAGCCTGGGAGAGAGAGAGAGCCTGTCATGGCTGGGTGTGGGTTCAGTTTGCATTGGAACAAGCCAGAAAGCTCCCTAGAACTCCAGGCCCCAAGTCATAGCTGTTCCTGACCCACAGGGTTCTGCCAGAGTCTGCACGGTGGCTCCTGACCCAGGGGAGGATGGATGAGGCGAAACAGCTGATCCAGAAGGCAGCCTCGGTCAACAGGCGGGAACTCTCCCCAGAGCTCCTGAGCCAGGTACTCCCGCAGGCCCAGGCAGGCGGGCATCAGACCCACACGGACCTTCCTGCCTGGCTCTCACTCTGCTTCTTCGCCCCAGCTGGTCCCAGAGAGGACAGGCCCCTCAGGAAATGCCCTGGATCTGTTCAGACACCCCCAGCTCCGGAAGATGACCCTGATTCTCTTCTGTGTCTGGTGAGTGCCCAGGGCCCGGGTCCCTGCCCGAGGACACAGCCACAGGACTGCAGTCTCCCTGGTCTGTGTCAGCAGAGGGGTGGCCTGTGGCTGTCTGGCGGGGAGGGTCTCTCCCTGGCTGTGCCAGTGTCCCGTGCTGTGACTGCTGACCAAGGCAGGCTCTCCCTGTGGGTGGTGTCTTGTCACCCAACAGAGACAGGAATGCTTCATCACCTTGTAGGTTTGCGGACAGTGTGGGGTACTTCGGGCTGAGCCTCCAAGTAGGGGACTTCGGCCTAGACATCTACCTGACGCAGCTCATCTTTGGAGCTGTTGAGGTGCCTGCTCGCTCTTCCAGCATCTTCATGATGGAAAGGTTTGGCCGCAAGTGGAGCCAGCTGGGGAACTTGGTCTTGGGTGGCCTTATGTGTATCATCATCATCTTCATCCCAGCAGGTACCAGGGCTGGCTGTCCCCACCCCCATGCCCCCTCACCCACCAGCTGCCAGGGCTAGACCAGTGGCCATTGTTCTGCTTCCAGGAGTGAAGGCTTCCCTGGGGTCTGGGTACAGATGGGGTGGGGAGTTTCAGTGGACGGGGCTGGGGGCAGGGCCCAGGTGACGAGGCTGTCTGCCCTCTGCCAGATCTGCCCGTGGTGGTCACCATGCTGGCTGTGGTGGGGAAGATGGCCACATCGGCCGCCTTTACCATCTCCTACGTGTACTCTGCCGAGCTCTTCCCCACTGTCCTCCGGTAAGAACTGCGGCGTGACTCCTGCTCCTCTGCTACTGTGACGCTGATTTGGCCGTCCCTTCTCGGCCCTCACCCTGTGCCACAACTTGGTAGGGCTGGCTCTGGGGCAGCAGTGCTGGGCGGGGTCCAGGGCACCTGGAAATCTAGCCCAAGCCCTCAAGTTGTCCCCAGGATGGTGGAGGACAGACGTGCAAGTAGGCCATGCCCTGGCGGCTGGGATGTGAATGTGGGACACAGCTAAGAATGCATGGCCCCAGAGAAGGAACACTCGGGGTGGGAGGGTGGTCAGCACGTGCAGCCTCCGACTTGAGACTAGACAGGCCAGCAGGGCTGTAGCAGGCAGGGAACAGGGGTGCAGTTGGGAGCAGACAGCAGGAGCACTGGACAGGCTGGGTGAGGCTGGAGACCCTGCCGACCTTTGGGGTCTAGGCTCTTCCAAGGAAATAGACTGGGGTGAAGCTGAGGCCCAGAGTTGGGCCCAGGTCTACTCAGCTTGCCCTGGCCTTCCCCCAGGCAGACAGGCATGGGGCTGGTAGGCACCTTCTCCCGGCTTGGGGGCATCATCACACCACTAGTGATCCTGCTGGGAGAGTGCTACGCTGCCCTCCCCATGCTCATCTACGGCAGCCTCCCCATCGTGGCCGGCCTGCTCTGCGCCCTGCTGCCAGAGACGCGTGGCCAGGACCTGAAAGACACCATCCAGGACCTGGAGCCAGAGCCCCGCCCACGGTGAGCTGCTTGCTTGCTCTGAAACCATGACCTGGGTCCCACATTGGCCACACACTCTGCATGCCCAGGCCTCCACCTCATCCCTAGTCCACTGTTGCCTAGAGGCGAATATGGGGTCCTCCAGAACCACAGACGTCTGGCTGGCTTTGGTTCAGATTCCCCTTACTCTGAGGAAGGGGGTGGTGAGGGACACTGTCATGGGGCCAATTCCTGGGTCGCCAGTGACAGCCTTCTGCCCCCTCTAGGTCCCCTAGATCAGCGCCCTCAGAGAAGGAAATGGAAGCCACAGGAAGAACTTCCAGCCCGGGAGTGGCCTTTGTGAGCAGCACGTACTTCTGATTGAGGTCTCTAAGAGCTGGACCATCAGCAGCAGGGAGCTACCTAAACACCCCCTTGGATATGGCCAGGACCCATGGGGACACAGTGCAAGACCAGCCTTGCTATGGAGGCAGTATACCACAACCCGGCCCATGACTGTCACCTGCCACTGAGCCCAGTCCCAGAAGTACCTGGGACAGGACCTCCTGGCCTCCTTCCCCTTTCTCCTCTCCAGAGCCCTGCCCCCGATACCTTGTCTGGGAAGGATCTTGGGTTTTACTTGTCCTCCAACAGTCTTCACGGGGTATGGCTGTCTTGATCTCCTCAATCTGGTGTCCCCTGCCCTCAAAACACAGTAAAGCTCAGAACAGAACACAAGATAAGGCCTTTTCAAGTTGTGGGAACAGGAGGGGAGAGAAAACAAATGTGAAGCTGTGGACTGTACCCAGGCAGGTGGATGAAAAGGCTGTGGATGGAGGGAAGGTTGTGGCTCCTTCTGCAGATGGACCAGATCCTTCTGGCTAAGGTATGGCCCCATAGGTCGCTGGCTCCTGGAGAGAGAAGATTCAGTTCAGCCGAAATTGAAACTTCCACCTTGCCCAACGCCCGCCCTACAGTCAGCTCATGCCTAACCTATGAGTGGCTCGGGACCAGGGTGGGGAGGGAGAGGAGGTTTGTTCTTCTCCCCTTCTCCCTTGCCTCCTTCTGCTCGTGCTCAGCTGCTTCTGGGCCTTCCAGGGTCCACACAGGGTAAGGGAAAGGCCAGAGGTCCTTTCACCCAGCTGCTGCCGGCCACAGCTCTTTGGGGCACACATTGGCTAATGCCAGCTGGTGCACTTTGCCAGGCTTCTGAAAGCTGCCTTTCCAGGGGGCATCTTCATGGGCTTCTCAGAGATCCTCCCAGGCCTTGGTGCTGTTCCTCGGAATGAGCAGTATGCTCCCAATGCACTCCTCCAGCCCCAGCCAGCATTGCTCCCACAGCCTCTCTTACAGCTGTTAGCCCCTGACCTTAGAAGATGGCCTTGGCCGGGCGTGGTGGCTCACACCTGTAATCCCAGCACTTTGGGAGGCTGAAGTGGACAGATCACCTGAGGTCAGGAGTTTGAGACCAGCCTGGCCAGCAAAATGAAACCCCGTCTCTACAAAAAGTACAAAAATTAGCCCCATGTGGTGATGAATGCGTGTAATCTCAGCTACTCAGGAGGCTGAGGCAGAGAATTGCTTGAACCTCAGAGGTGGAGGTTGTAGTGAGCCAAGATCATGCCACTGCACTCCAGCCTGGGTGACAGAACGAGACTCTGTCTCAAAAAAAAAAAAAAAGATGGCCATCTTGGACAGGTGCCCATCAAGAGACCTCAAGCCACGCTGCCTTCCTCAGCACCTCCTTGGCCCGCAAGAACACCATACATCATTGTTTCACCAAATGGCAGAAAAAGAGCTTGCCTGGCCACCCCTGCCCCTGCCTTGCCCCCAGCTAACCTCCCACCGGGGGAAGGTTCCAGTCTGTCTTCTCACAGCTCCCCAGCCCCCCATGCTTGCTCACCTTCTCCTACATGGCTGGGTCAGGACTGGGGGTAGGTGCTGGACCAGTTTCCCGTACACCCAGCATGGAAGCACCCAGCACCTCTCCTCCAAACACATGGATATTCCTCACTCACAGTTCTCAGCCTTGAAGTGCTGACAAAATCTTTATTTAGCTTCCTACTGTGTGCCCACCCTGGAGTCCTCTCGGGGACACTCGCACGTCTTTCTAGGTGCAATGTGCCTCCCAGGCTGAAACTGCCAAGGTGTGGAGAAGACTGGATAGAGGTGGGGAAAGGGCCATTTCCCAGCTAAAGGCAGTTTCCTTCTCTAAGATGTGGACACTTGCTCCCTTTAAGACGGAATGATTGTCACTTCCAGGAAGAGACCCAAATGGCCATGACTGGCTAATTTGTGTAATTTTAGTAGAGACGGGGTTTCACCATGTTGGCTAGGCTGGTCTCAAACTCCTGGCCTCAGGTGATCTGACCAGCTTGGCCTCCCATGGTCCTGGGATTACTGGCATGAGCCTCCGTGCCCAGCCCCTGGAGACTTTGTCTTTGCTTTTTGAGGGGATTATGGTTAGTTGGGGAGAAAGATTTTTTTTTTCCGGTTTGTTCTGATGAATGGGTAAATGCCCTTTAGCAGTGACTGATGGGAGGTTGGCTGCTGAGGCCTCTGGGTCCCCAAAGGAGAAGGTATGCAGCCTGATCATGACTCTACTCTGAGAAGCAAAACAGGGCCAGGCAGTGGCCAGCACATACTGAACCGCTGTCCCCAGAGGGTGTTACAGAACACAGAACAGCCTGGATCTGAGGGACATGCCAGCAGGGAACCCATTACTCAGTGCTATGGTTAGCTTTGTGGGGGCTGGTGGAAGACTCAGATCTCAGGTCTTGGGGGCAGGACCCTCCTACTCTGGGCCTCAGCCTTCCCGTGTTAGAATGTCCAATGTCTAAGATGGCCCCACACTCCCCCTGCCAACTGCTGGTCTGCACTGACACGGTCCCCACTGACTCCAGCCACACTGGCCTGTCCACCACCTCACCCACTTCCACCACAGGCACTACCTTATGTCGCTGGAACGGTGTCTCCATCTCTGGCAGGGGTGTCCATGTCCTCAGGGCTGCTTTTGAGGTGCTCTGCCTCCTGCCTCTTCCTCTCTCCCACAGGAGGGAGGGTGATGGGGAGGCTGCTGCCCACCATGACAGTTTCTCAGCCACTACCCCTCCCACCTGTGACGCCTCCTCTCACGGAAACCCATCTCTCTTCCGGGCTCCCCTCTAGACCATAGCCTCATCCATCCAGAACTCCACTACCTGACTCAAGGTTGTCCCTTCCACTCCAGCCCTGCCATCAGCTTGGGGAAATCCATCTCCACCTCCAAAATCTCAGGAAGTGCTGGCATCTGAGTGCATAGCTGAAGGACTCTCCGACTGACTTCTCATGCCCTGAGCCCAGCACGCTAGCCTTCTGGCTCGTTTGCCGGTATTCCCGTCTGTCTGAGTCAGCTCAGGCCCCCACAATGAATTACCACTGACTGCATGGCTGAAAAACAGAAATGAATGTTTTCACAATTCTGGAAGCTAGAAGTCAAAGATCAGGTGCCAGCACGGTCAGGTTCTGGTGAGGGCCCTCTCTCCTCTCCCTGGCTCCAGATGTCCCGGTCTCGCTGGGCCTCCCATGACATTTAGTTAGTGCACACACATGGAGAAAGAAAGAATTTCTCTCTGCTGGACCGGAACTCCTGGGCCCCGCTGTAGCCTCCTGAGTAGCTGGGACATCAGGCGTGCATCACCGCATCTGACATCTCATCCTCTGTTTATGAGGCTGCTAATTCCATCCTGAGGGTCCCACCCTCGTGACCTAATGCAATCTTACTTACCTCTCAATGGCCCCACCGCCAAATACCATCACATTGAGGGGCGGGGCTTTAATAGGTACATTTGGGAGGGACACGAACCTTCTTCCCATAATACCATCCTTAGCCTCACTGGGCCCTATGGTCTGTTGACTCTTTTACTTTCTCCTCACCTCCCGCAGTCCTCTCTACTCTGATTAGAGGAAGCAAGCCATCATTTTCACTTCCATTGAGAGATGGAAATTATTTCTGTCTCTGTTGCCAATAGTCAACACTTTGATCCTTTTACCATTTGGTTGTACCCAAGTAGCAAAACCGCAGCAGCGAATGAGCCCAGTTATCGGCCTTTTCCTTTCCTGCCTCCCAGACTGCTGGCCATTGCTGTAGGGAGTCACACCCTGGACAAGTCGGTTCCTCTCTGAACCAACGCTCACCAGCCTCAACTGGGTCCTTAGTGCGTGGCGCTCCCGCCAGCTTTGCCCAGCCCTCCCCCGCGGCTACCTCTACCCTCCACTCTGCACACCTCCCATCCTCCCACCTTCTAGCAGAGTGCTAGAAACCAGAGAACCATCCTGCGGCAGCTCCCCAAACTTCCCACCACCAAAGCTTTAACCTACTCCGTCACCTGCCCTTCTGCTGCACGGAGATGTCAGTGAAGCAGCTGATGGCGAGGCCATTAACTCTACTGCCCCCACACATTCTGGGAGCTGCCGAAGGTTGGGCCTTTTCCTCCTTCGCCTCTCTTCTCCATTTTCTCCGCAGTAGGCAAGGAGACCGGGGTCAGGCCGTTGGTGGGGAGCCTCTGAATTGAATTTGCCTTTGCCTCTAAGTTTCTTTGGAGATGAAATACTATCACTCTGTCTGGGGTTTTCCTGCTCCCAGAGGTATTCAGATGAAGCAAGATTGGTGTCATCCATGGATGGTCCATGCCATTTTTCTGCAGAGGTGTTGGGGTCTGAGCCAGGACAGGCCTTGACAGTAATTGGTCTGGAAACCAGGAAAAACCCAGTTTCCCAGTGCCCAGGGTCTCCCTAGGGCTGGCCCTTGCTCTGTGGGGTATCGGTGTTGGCTTCGCTGCACCCTGGCTGTGCACCTCCTTGCTTTTGCTCCTCAGAGGTCAGGGCAATGGTGACTCTCAGTCCTGAGCACTTAGCCCAGCTGTGTGAAAGTGATGGCTGCCGGGTGCTCGCTGTGTGGCCTGCCGGGTCCCTTTGGCTCCCAGAGTGCTGCTGCTCAAGAGTGGGGAACTTGAGAGAGGCTGAGGGGCCTAGGACCAGCCACTGAGGTGACCTGCAGACACCCTGAGGGCGGTGTGGTGAAAGAGGAAGGAACGATGTCCCAGATACTAATAAGATTGCAGTCCCCTGCCCCAAAACAAGTGAAGACTGAGCAGCAGGAAACTGCAAAATAGTTGTAAGTAGGTTTCCCTGTGATTAATACCTCGATGTTTTTTTTCAGATACATGAAATTCTTTTAATTTTTTTGTTTTAGTGTCTGTGTTAGTCCATTTTCTGTTGCTGATAACAGAATACTTGAAACTGAGTTTTTTATAAAGAAAAGAAATTTATTTCTCATCGTTCTGGAGGCTGGGAAGTCCAAGGTTTAGGGGATATGTCTGGTAAGGGCCTTCTTGCTGCTAGGGACTCTGCAGAGTCCCAAGAGGGCAGAGGTGAGGGAACTGAGTGAACTAGCTTGTCTTTCTTTGTCTGGTTATAAAGTCACCAGCCCAATTCTCATAATTCGTTAACCCATTAATCTATTAATGAACGGCGATTGTTAACAGATTACCCCTCCTGACCCAATTACATCTTAAAGGCCCCATCACGCTACCACACTGGAGATGAAGTTTCAACATGAGTTTTGGAGAGGACAAATGTTAAACCACAGCAATGCCCTACTTTTGCTGAGGTCCTGAGTACATGCTGTGTCTGCTGATTGGGAAATCAGCTTTTCTTGCTGCTCTTTTTTCTCTGGAGCTTCTCTGGGCCATGTCCTGAGTAGGGGACAAAAAAAAAAAAAAAAAAAAAAAAGAGAGCTCTCAGCCCTGCGCGGTGGCTCACGCCCGTAATCCCAACACTCTGGGAGGCCGAGGTGGGCAGATCACCTGAGTTCAGGAGTTTGAGACCAGCCTGGCCAACATGGCAAAAACCCTGTCTCTACTAAAAAATACAAAAATTAGCTGGGCATGGTGATGCATGCCTGTAGTCCCAGCTACTCAGGAGGCTGAGGCAGAAGAATCGCTTGAACCCGCAAGGCAGAGGTTGCAGTGAGCCAAGATTGAACCACTGCACTCTAGCCTGGGCGACAGAGCAAGCCTCTGCCTCAAAAATAAAAATAAAAATAAAAACAGGAAGAGAGCTGTCTTTTGCTACAACCTCAGGAAGCAGAGGTGGGTCCAGCAAGCTGCAGGGGAGGGGGGGCTTGTCCCCTGCTGGGCCTCAGCCTG